GGTCCCCGTGTCCCCCCGTCCCCGTGTCCCCCCGGTGCGGTGTTTGGGGGTCGGGGCCGGCGATGCTGTGCATGGTGACAGCACGAAGCGGCTCCTCTCCCCGCAGCGGGGACATGCGCGGAGCCGGGGCGGCGGGGACTGAGCCCCAGGGTCACCCCCGTGTCCCCCTGATGGACCCCCGGACCCCTCGCTCCGGGATACCCCGCAGGGCTTTGGAGGGCTGTTCCCCAAAACTCCCTCGCCCGCATCAGCGGACGCTCGCTCGTGAGCATCGCAGTCTTGTGCTGCTCTGATTTGCACAATTTTGGTGCCTAAAATATTGGGGGGAGGGGGGAGAGAGCCATAGGGAGCGCTGCCCTTTTGGGGGTCTCGTGCTGGCGACTTTGCTGCCGGCTGTAATGTGGCGGTGTGGTGAGGTTTTGCCCCCAGACTGCCACGTCCCTGCACTCAAACTTTGGTCCTTCCTTAAAGGTATTTAATGTTGAGCGTGGCGTGGAGATCTCCCTGTGCCCACGCTGCCTCCTGCCCGCCGGCGCTTTGTCTTTGGGGCTGATTTATTGGCCTCTGGCAGCTGTGATTTGGCGGCTCCACGAGGGTGTCGTGGGCTTTGCCGGCACCTCGGGGCGACGCAGATAACGCTGCCGGCACCCTCCCACCCCCAGCCTCCAACGGGTCTGTTAAGGTGCTTGAAAACAACCTTTCGGATGGGATGTGGCCATGGCCACGCTCCGGGGGGGGGAGACAGGTTTAGGTTTTGGGTCCCACAGATGGCACGGGGGTCCCCAGGATGGTGGGGGCTGCATTGGGAGCAGGGCTGTGATGCTGAGCTCTTGGGAGTTTCCCCTTTTCTCCCCAAATCTGGCTGGGGGATGTCTGCCCCAGATCCCACCCTGCCTTAGCATCCCTTTGCCCCCACCATGGACCCCAGGAGCGGGGCTGAGCCTCACGTATGAGCTCTGACGATGCCGGGCTGTGTCCTGCCAGGGTAATAGAGCAAAATCCCAGCTTGTGCCTGGATATTCCCAATGTGAAGGTGCTGGAAAGGTGTTGGGGGAACCTGGGGCATCTTCTGGCTTGGGGAGGCACACACGTGGCTGATTTTTAAAAACTAAAGTCGGTTTCCCCACCAACTTTTAGTTTTCTTTATCCCTCACAAACTTCCTAAAAGCTGTTAATCTTAACCGTTGTCTTCCTGTGCTAAACCCTGCAAAAACCCCAAAGCTGTTCCGTCTGTTGGATCTCTTTATCTTCAGGAAACACGAAATTGCACGTGCCTGTTTCTGGGACGGGGATTATATCGAGAAACAAAGCCGGGAGAAGCACCTTGCCTGGAGACACGGCACGGATGATTTATCTCTAAACACTTTCTGCAGCCTCTCTCTAAACCCAGGGAAGAACAAAACAGGGACGAGTTATTAAGATGGCAGACGTTAAAAAGAAGCCAAATCAGGCAGAAAAGTGCTGCTCTTTTGGCAGGGTGATCCGTGGTGGAGTGAGAGCAGGTTTTAACCTCCTCACCGGACCCCACGGCCGGTGGCTCTGTGGTGGTGATGCCCGTGGTGGGACACGGAGAGGACCTGGTGTCGCCTTTGTCCTGTCCCCTCGGCGCTGGGGCTGCCTTTGTCTGCTCCTCCCGGCCCCGCGCGTCCCCGGCTGCTGCCTGGACGGTCTGGGGGAGCGGAGTGACACCCCACGGGGCGGGCAGGAGGGGTGGCCCCTTTGCCCACTCCGGGGGTGCCATTATTGGGGACACCGGGCTCGTGGTGCGGGGTCACACAGTCCGGATGAGCCACCCGGTGTGTTCGGTGCTCTCATGGTGCTGGGTCACTTCTCACACCCCATCAGAGGGACCCAAAAGGGGGACACGGAGCTGCTGGGCAG